GGGCCTTATACTACAAGTCTAAATGACTTTCATCAAAGTTATACTTATAGTAATCTCAAAAGATAGTATTGGAATGCATTTCCTGAAGAAGATGCTTCCAAGGGGGAGAATATGATGATATGTGTGGTTGTACTCTTTTTCCTTATCATGGTTTTTATCCCATTGGGTTTTTCCATGAAAGGTTTTAATGAGTCAACAAAGAACACACAAATGAGAAATATCTAAAGGAAGTCTTGAGATCAAGTGAAAGAAGGAGACTGATCAAGATGAATCATCTTGACCCATGCACCCAAGAAGAATGGCGTTGTCAATGTTCTAAAGTCCGTTCAAGTGAAGATTGTAAAAGGAGTTTTCATGTGCTACTTTCAAGAAGTTAGTTCACCCGATATACACGGATGTTCTCATGAGGGGGAGTAGTCGCGCGCTGTACTCTTTTTCCTTAACAAAGGTTTTTCCCTTTGGGTTTTGCTGGTACGGTTTTAACGAGGCAGCATCATGCGCATTTAGAAGATAGTTTTAGATAATGGACTTCCAAGGGGGAGTGTTGTAATTAGTTTATATGGAATCTCATTATCGCCCAGATTCTAGAATATTTTAGCTTGTTCTCCAAGTATATTCTTTTCCAAGAAAACCCTATATTGTACTCCTATATAAAGAGCTCATTATTGATGGAATAACACACAACCAATTCCTCTCTTATCTTGTTCTCTGTTTTTACTATAACAAATATCACTATTTTAATATTTCCATTATTATTATTTTATCATGGAGTATATAAATAAAAAATTTAGAGTAACAAATGAGGATGGATAAGATAAAGCATGTGTTACTCCCTTATTGGTTAACGTATTTTAGTTGATTTATAAAACTATGTAGGAATACAAATCTTTGTAAAGTTTATTAGCTTCAATTAGTATTTGTAAATCCATAGGTTTTCTCTGGGATTTCATTCTTTGTATTTGTAACATGGAAATCATTCCAAATCCACTTTAATATCAAATCCATGATTTTAAAATCATAAAACCAATAATATATGTTCATGATTTTAAAATCATAGAACCAATAAAATACATATTTCAAAATCATATAACCAATAATACAATATTTGAATATAAATTTTAAAATTATTGAACCAATTACACTGGAACTGGTTGTGGATGAGCCAAGATATGGAGGTCATTGCTAAAGCCCTCCTCCCAGACTCTTCTCTCCTCCTTTTACCAACCACGTACTTTCCGGTTTTTTTTTCACAATCTATACTCCTCACATGATTAAAGATGCTATCTGGATACGAACCGTAACATTTTTGTATTAATAAATATCATGAAGAGACACGCCAAAGATAAGAAACTTGGAGCATCTTTGTGCCATTGCATGATCGTTGAACTTGACGATGGTTTGCTGGAGGTGTAGTTTGGAGGAAATGTAGTCTTGAGGAATTTTAAAGGAATTGAAACTGAATTTCTTCATATAAAGGTATTACACTCAAATAATGAATCCAGGTCTCCAAGAAAATATGAATCAAACGGATAATACCCAAATAAAACAAGATGAAATCAAATAAAACATTCTGGCAAATAAAACATTATAGCTTAATGAAAAATTGAATTTAGTGGTTCTTAGTAGTATGAAGGTGGCGCTGGAGACTTGTAGTCTACTTTAGGGGGATAGTATGGTGGTGGTGGAGAACTACAGACAAGCGGTGGGGAGGAGATTTGTAGTGTATCAGTGTATCTGAGGGGAAGGTGAGTAGTATGGTGGTGGTTGAGAACTGTAGACATAGGGGGTGGAGGAGATTTGTAGTGTACCTTAGGGGAAGGTGGGTAGTATGGTGGTGGTGGAGAACTATAAACATAGGTGGTGAAGGAGATTTGTAGTGTACCTTAGGGGAAGGTGGGTAGTATGGTGGTGGTGGAGAACTATAAACATACGGTGGTGGAGGAGATTTGTAGTGTACCTTAGGGGAAGGTGGGTAGTATGGTGGTGGTGGAGAACTATAAACATACGGTGGTGGAGGAGATTTGTAGTGTACCTTAGGAGAAGGGGAGTAGTATGGTAATGGTGGAGAACTGTAAACATATGGTGGTGGAGGAGACTTATAATGTACCTTAGGGGAAGCGAGTAGTATGGTGGTGGGAGAGAACTGTAGACATACAGTGGTGGTGGAGATTTGTAGTGTACCTTATGGGAAGGGGAACAGTATGGTGGTGGTGGAGAACTATAGACATAAGGTGGTGTTGGAGAAGTATAAACTGGTGGTGATGGAGAACTGTAAACTGGTGGTGGTGGAGAGCTGTACACATACGATGGTGGAGGAGATTTGTAGTCTGCCTTAGGAGACGGTGAGTAGTATGGCGGTGGTGGAGGAGAACTGGAGACATATGGTGGTGGTGGTAAATTGTAAACTCGATGGTGGAAAACTGTAGACATATGGTGGTGGTGGAGAACTGTAAACTGGGGGTGGTGGGGAACTGTAGACATATGGTAGTGGAGGAGACTTGTCATCAACCTTAGGAGACTATGAGTAGTATGGTGGTGGTGGAGGAGAACTGTAGACATATGGTGGGGGTGGAGAACTATAGACATATGGTGGTGGTGGAGAACTGTAGACATATTGTGGTGGTGGAGAACTGTAAACTGGTGGTGGTGCGGAACTGTAGACATATGGTGGTGGAGGAGACTTCTAGTCTACCTTAGGAGATGTGTAGTATGGTGGTGGTGGAGGACAACTGTAAACATATGGTGGTGGTGGAGGACAACTGTAAACATATGGTGGTGGTGGAGAACTGTATACATATGGTGGTGGAGGATATTTGTAGTCTACCTTAGGAGATGGTGAATAGTATGATGGTGGTGGAGGAGAACTATACACATACGGTGGAGGAGGTGACTTGTATTCAACTTTAGGAGATGGTGCGTAGTATGGTGGTGGTAGAGAACTGTAGACATATGGTGGTGGAGGAGTTTTGTAGTCTACCGTAGGAGATGATGAGTAGTATGGTGGTGGTGGAGGAGAACTATACACATACGGTGGAGGAGGTGACTTGTATCCAACTTTAGGAGATGGTGTGTAGTATGGTGGTGGTGGAAAACTGTAGACATATGGTGGTGGAGGAGATTTGTAGTCTACTGTAGGGGATGGTGAGTAGTATGGTGGTGGTGGTGGAGAGTTGTAAACATACGGTGGTGGAGGAGAGTTGTAAACAATCTTAGGAGATGGTGAATAGTATGGTAGTGGTGGAGAGTTGTAGACATATGGGGGTGGAGGAGACTTGTAGTGTATCTTAGGGGAAGGAGAGAAGTATGGTGGTGGTGGAGAGCTATAGACATATGGTGGTGGAGGAGATTTGTAGTCTACCTTAAGGGAAGGGGCGTAGTATGGTGGTGGAGGAGATTTGTAGACATATGGTTGTGGAAGAGATTTGTAGTCTACCTTAGGGGAAGGGGCGTAGTATGGTGGTGGAGGAGATTTGTAGACATATGGTGGTGGAGGAGATTTGTAGTCTACTTTAGGGGATGGTTAGTAGTATGGTGGTGGTGGTGGAGAGTTGTAAAAATACAGTGGTGGAGGAGACTTGTACACAATCTTAGGAGATGGTGAGTACTATGGTGGTGGTGGAGAGTTGTAGACATATGGGGGTGGAGGAGACTTGTAGTGTATCTTAGGGGAAGGAGAGAAGTATGGTGGTGGTGGAGAGCTATAGACTTATGGTGGTGAAGGAGATTTGTGTTCTACCTTAGGGGAAGGGGCGTAGTATGGTGGTGGTGGAGATTTGTAGACATATAGTAGTGGGGAAGACTTGTACTCAACCTTAGGGAATGGTGAATAATATAGTGGATGTAGTGATGGGAAATTAGACATATGGTGGTGGGGGGGATTTGTATTCTGACCTTTGGAGATGGTGAGTAAGATGGTGGTGGTGGTGAGCTATACGTGTAGTGCTCATACGCTTCAACCATTGTTGCCATGACGATAACTCCTATAGCGTAAGTAAGATGGGCTGAAGGTCCCATCCTAGAAGAAGATCTCATCGTGATTTTGATGTTCTTTACCAACGCCTAACTACGTTGGTTATTTTTGTTGTTTATCTTTGTGTATTAAGGAATGAGTTCATGGGTTTATATGACAAATATTTTCTCTAAATCCAGCTCTACTATTATTTTATTTTTTTGCCTTGTTGTTTTGTATTCCATCCAACTAATTCATGGAGACATGTCACACGATGCTTGTGGGAGACGTGCAAGAACGTCTATCGAACCTCTACGAGCTACTTCCATTTTTTATTACAAGCTCAAGAAGAATTTTCTATAGTATGGATGCATCTTTTTTGTTCAATTTAGGTTAAAACCCCAACGATAATATATGATGATAGAGCAGGAATAAGCACATTCCTTTGATTCCGTCACAATTAATAATATTATGCAAATCGGCCCGTTTTCCACTTCCTCCTCAAAGAAGAGGAAGTACTTGGAGAAAAAGATTACTTCCAAGAAAAATGGAAAGAGATAAACACCAAAGAATAATATTTCCAAAAAAAATATGGAAGAATATCTTGAAGAAGCGGACCTCCTCTCCATATAAATAGAAGACCCCTCATTTCTTGAAGACCATCCACAAATATCATCATTCATCCAGAAATATTCAGAAAACCCTAGTTATAATTCGTTTTTGTTCTTAGTTTCTTTACTTCTTTTTGTATTATCACCCCTTGTTCCATCTTTATCTTTGGTTGATCTAATAAAGAGACTCTCCTAATTCCACATCTCTTATCTTACTATTACTCATGTGATTTTGAGATCTAACATATGATTAATGATTTTTGTTTTAAAATGCTTTTAAATCAACAATGTATGTAATTTATCTTAACATTAAAACCAAAAAAAAAGACAATGTAATTGGCCAAAGGTGTGGAATGCTCATGTACATTATATATTGTGAAATTGCGAGTACAAAATCTAGAGGAAGTCAAACTGTTGAGATAAACACTATTGAAGTGACTATAAGAATAAAGTCGCATATCTCTCTAAAAACTGCTCCGCCATTAGGCTCTTACTTCCCATGAACGCTCTGTAGAGGTCCATCGTTGAGATTGCCTCTGAGTCTCGTCTGACCATACTACTTGTGGGCTGTCGCCAAATCAAAACTCGTCAAACTACACTAAAGACAATGTTTATTACAACCCAAAAGATAGTAAAATTATACACGAAACTAAAACTGAACCCAAACCAAACTTTTAAGGGTTATGATAAAAAAAATTACGTAATATACCAAAGTATAGAAAATTCGGCCAAAGTACCAACCTTAATTTGTCTTAAAGTTTATGTTTTCTAGAGGTAAAAAGTGAGCTGTTAAGCGAGAAAGTAAGAGTATTAATAAAAAAATATATACAAGTAATACAGCCTGTCCAACTTCGGGTCCCTTATTTTTTCGTGAGATCAACAGTAGTCTTTCAGTGTAGTAAATCCTGGTATTATTGTGTTTACCAAAAAAAAAAAAATCTTGGTATTATTGTAAGCTAAAATAAAACTTTTTTTTTTTAGTAATTGAACTCAAAACCTATGCCTTCTTCATGTTTTCATATAGTGCAAATTTCTGTTTGTGTTAGGTTACATGAACTTGCTCAGTTGCTTGGAATCTTGGCTGCAACACTCGATACTAGAAGAAAAGAGACACAGTGAGTAGCTTGTCAAATACCACATGTACTTAACTCACCAAATGTTATATCATCATCAACATGAGAGGATAACAAAATTAGAACAAGTAGAGAAATCACATGATTGTATAGAGAACTGGTTATAACTTTTTCTTTCAGTGCTTGGAGGCACATGATGACGATGCGTAGGATTCGGACTAAAAGTTTGTGGTTCTTGCAGGGGCGGAGCTAGTAATTAAGGATACTAGGGATTAAAGCCCCGCGCAAGCGCGGGGTTGTTCGAGATAATGTTTCTGTTTGATTTTATTTATATTCATTGATTTGAAATTTTGAATTATGATGGTTATATGTTAACTTTCATGTTTTGGTTATATTTTGAGTTAACACAACAATTAACACTAACAATATGATCAATTTTTTTATTAAGATATTAACACATTTCTTCATCTCGAGTTTTCTATTTCTAAAATTTAATATGCATTTGACTCAACGTTAAAATTTGTAAACATGATGTAGATTCGAAATTGCACTCAAAATATGATGAAAAAGATAAACATGTATAAGTTCTTACATATATGCTTTATTGTGATAGCATGTGAGAATTGATTATTTTCTATTATGTTAGTTTTGTAGATATAAATTGTATTTTTGAAACAAACATATCACCATTCTTAAAATTTTCATGCTTTTCGTTGCAATGAAATTTAAATAATAACTCAAATTCTATTTTCTAATAAAACAAACTCTAACTCTAATTTTTATTAGCTTTTTACTATGTTAAATAATTTATAATGTACCTTTTTTACTTGTAAGTACATTATAATATTTTTAAATAGGATAAATCATTTGAATTAAAACTTAACTATTATATGCTATTTCAAGTTAAATATTTATTTATTTAATCTCCATTTTATATTAGAACTTTTTTTAAAACTTTTAACATCAAAATATCACATACTTTATATTAATCAATTAAATTGTTTCTGTATTTTTATTAGTTTTGTTTATGTGTAAAGCAGGAATATATATAAATAAATATTAATACACATATATTAAATATCTTAAATACAATTAATGATTTTTTTGCTGATGTGGATGGCCTAGAAGGAGAGAGCAACTCTCCTATTATATATAAGATTGGGTGGTTAGCTGACCCCCACTAATTTTTTTTCTTTCTCTTATTACTTTAATCAAAAATTTAATGACTCTGTTTTAAATTAATAATTGACTCCTTTAAAATATCTATACTATATAAAAGTCTGAGAGCATCCACATCAGCTTTTAAAAAACCAATTAAATTTCGCCAAATAAGCATTTTAATTTCAAAATCGAAAATTAAATATTTTTTTGAGAAAAATTACAATTATTGTATCAAGGAATGGAAATTGTACTATTTTGAATTTTAATACTTACATTATTTAACTTCTATACTACATAAAAGTTGAGGCTATAAGCCTCTGAGAGCGTCCACATCAGCTTTTAAAAAACCAATTAAATTTCGCCAAATCAGCATTTTAATTTTAAAATCGAAAGTTAAATAATTTTTTGAGAAAAATTATAATTATTGTATTAAAGAATGGAAATTGTACTATTTTAATTTTAATACTTACATTATTTCCCTTAACCTATTATTTAAAATAGTTAATAGAAATTTAACATAAAAAATAGTTAAACTAACAAAAATAACATATTATTAGAAAAGCTAAACTAACTAATTAAAATAAAAAGGAAATAAACAATTTTACTATTTCAATGTTTGGCATTGGCTATAAATAGCCCTCTAAACTTTAGAATACATATACAAGAGTTCTAAAGACAACCACATTCTTCTTCTTCTTGAGAGAGAGAGAGAGAGAGAGAGAGAGAGTATTTAAATAGCTATGTCTTCTTCCAGCTCTTCTGTTTCTGATCAGTTACGGCATCCTTTTGTTTTCGATGAACTCACTAAACGATTTTGTAAGAAAGAGCTGCTTGCTAGAGTCATCCACTTATGGGAGGCAAGGAATACTAAAAAAGAAGGTCTGCTTATGGGATATGAACTGCTTCTAATCGATCAAAAGGTAACAACACCAATATTATTTACCAATTACCAATAGAAAGTAAAATCATCATCAACTTATATACTCTTTTCTACCATAATTTAATATAGGGAACTAAAATTCAAGCATTCATACCGACTAATCGACTAGGAGACTATGAGGAAAAACTAAAGGCTGGTGAAGTTAACAAGTTTTATAGCTTTCTGGTCATCAACAACAAAAAAGACGGGCGAAGTCTACAACATTGGTAGTTTTTTGGTCATCATCAACAAAACGAGCTACAAGTTCTCCTCACACAGATTTCTCATCCAATTCATTTCGGAAACAACAATGGTGCAAGCAGACTATGATGACTACACTATTGAGGGTCAAAACTCGGAGTAGATAGAACCCCTATGGACAGTACGAGCTAGCCATGCTCCACCAAGGCCAAGGGAGCCACACACACTTCGATGAAGAAGAGGAAGAAGAGGAGCCGCAAGCTCGATCGAGCGAGGAACCCAGTCGAGTGGAGCGCTCCTGATGGCCGTCTCCCTCTCCAGACCACGACCTTGCCTCCCAGTTCTTTGGGGGGCACTGAGGTATCAAACACCAACCTTGTATACCATTTCATTTTCTTTGCATTTTTTTTGTTTTTCTTGGTTTTGCCCTCTTGAATCTTTCACTAAATTTCTCTCACACAAGGGACTGTGTGATTTAAGTTTGGGGGAGGGTTCAAGAGATGATTTAACCTTGTTTTCTTTGTTCTTAGTTTTTCATTCATCTTTTGCATAGAAAAACCAAAAAAATCATAAAATTTTCAAAAAATCCAAAAATATTTTCATCTTTTTGCATTCATATTTGTTAGATTGTTTAGGATTGCATTTTCACTTGCATTGTTGATTTGACTTTGAAAACTTGTTCATCATTTGCGATTTCTTGAGTGCCCTGTTTTTAGATTCTCTTGTGCATTAGGGTGAGATTGATTGAGCAGCAAGAACCATGTTTATCTTGATCATATCACTGCATGCACATCTCATTCAACCATTGCTGTGATTTGATGCATTTCCCTATCTATTTGAACCATAACTTGATCTTTAATTACCAATGCTTGCATTTGATTTCAACTCATGGCTACCACATACATATCTGGACATTCTTTACCATTTTCATATCCCTTTGCTTGTCCAGATAGCTGATCTCCATCTTTGAGACAGTTACCACACCTTAAACCTAAGCCTTTTCATTTCAAACCCCTATTATCTCTTGTGCGAATGTGAGAACCTTTCTTGGCTTTGCTTAGCATAAGGTGTTGTGTTTAAACCGGCAGGGGCAGTAGTTCTAGTTGTCTAGTTCTCTTGGGATTGTTTTCAGGCTAAGTTTGGGGGTGCCAACTCGAGCTCGATCGAGTTGGGTGTAAAAACCAGAAAAGTGGTAAAAGTTGGGAAAATCCAAAGGAAAAAGAGTTTAGTTAAGTCCAGGGAGTTGGCAGTGTTAAAAAGGGTCTAGTAAAGGTTTGGGAAGTTAAAAAAGGAAGTAAAAAGGGTTCTAAGTAGAAGAAAAGAAGGCAAAGCCTCAAGTGTCAAAAAGAAAGAAAAGTTCCCTAAGTGTTTAGAAAATCCCAAACCGCTAGATGTTACCTCAAGAAGCCTCTCCCTAGGAAGTTCTTAAAAGAAAAGTGAGCAAAGCTCCTCAGTTTCAAAGGCGAAATGCCAAAAAGGGTAGTTAGGATTTTGTTCTAAAAAGCTCTAAGTGTTGAACTCGATCGAGTTAGGATTAGGCGGCTCGAGCTGCTGTTCTTGCATCATCTTTGGTTCTAACACTTAGCCTTCTGCCAAAGCAAAGCCACTTTCTTGAGAGATCCCTGTTACTAAACCACCATACAAAAGAGACCCTCTTTGTCTCTTAACCCATAAACCCTTGAAACCAAATGAGTTGATTGATCTTGCATGTTTTTGGTTCACTGTTTTTGCTTAATGAATGTTAAAGGGATTTGCTGATTTGAATGCATTGTTTGAGTGACTGTGAAGTGGGATTGATGTTGATAAGCATGGTTAAATCTTAATGAATATCTCTCACCTTGTTGCATTCTAGAATCTCTAAGTTGGACATTTAGCAAATCGCTTTTGAGGACATGTTTTTAAGTGTTGAATCAACTTGTTTTCAAACCTCATCTCTTTCTTGTTCTATTTGTTTGCTTGAGGGCAAGCAAAGGTCAAGTTTGGGGGTGTTGATGTACTTGCATTTTACATAGTTTTAGTACATCTTTTATGCATCTTTTGCATAGTTTTAGCATCCATTAGCATCATATCTTGTTCCTTTTCTCTTCTTATGCATTCATAGTAGTTTTAGGTTGCATTTGCATACATATGCATGTTTGGTCCTTTGAAATAGGTCTTTTGGAGCATTCTGGAGCATATGGGACGTGAGGAGCATGGAGGGACTTGGGCATGGACGCAGCTCAACTGGATACGCAAAGGAAGAAGGAGGAAGCCATCTTGAAGACCAGCTCGACCATCTACTCGACCAACCGGTCGAGTTCCTCAACTCGACCGGCCAAGCTTCAACTCGATCGAGCTGGAAGTCAAAGTCAAACCCGAAAAATGTTGCTTCCCCCTTGACTTCCTTTGACCCTAAACCTAATCCTCTTTGTATTTAAAAGCCACGAAAAAACCACCAAGCTTTAGATTATTTTGTTTTAGTTTCTTTTAATTTATTGTCTTTTACTTTTTAGAGCTCTAATCCCATCTTTGTGTTCTTGAAGCTCTTGCTTCTTGAATCCTAGATCCTGGATAATCTCTTTGTATTTGCACTTGCTTATTTCAATAAAAGTTGTTTTCTTTCATCTCCTCTTTCTTATGATGTCTCTTTTATTGCATTTGCTTGTGTTTACATTCATGTGTAGTGAGTAGTTACCCATTAGGGTTTGAGATGGGATAGATTAGGGTTTCATATGCTTAATCCTTCTTGCTTATGGTCTTAATCTAGATTCTCTCTCTTTTGGATAAATCTTAAGGCTACATGACCACTACCCCTGGCTTGTATGTCCATTAGGCGATTCTCCACATGGAAGTGATGGAAATCGCTGGAAAAATCCACTAAGAGCTCCAATAACTCTTGCTCTCGAAATGGAGGTCAAGGGGTTGGATGGATTAGTTTGGGCAATGATCCTATGGCCTCCAAGGTTTGATTCTCACTGGCTAATGATGATAGGATTTGTGTGTGGATGTGAAAAGATATGAAATGAGATGAGTGGAATGCAATCAGTGGTATATGATGAGGTGGTAAGATGCAAACACAAACACAGTCAACAATTCCCTTTAACCATGATAGTGATGTAGTACAAAGGGTTATCAATCCAAAATGGGAAACTTGTCACTCTATGAGAATATGAAACAACCAGAAAGTCAAGCAAGCAGTTAAAGATTTGAAGTAACACTAACAACCTAAAAAAATGAAAAGCAGTGCAATAAAAGTAAACAAAGCAGTGAAGTACAGCTCGACCAAGACTCGAGTCGAGTCAGAACAAAGTACCAGCTCGATCGAGTTTAGGGACGAGTTGAGACAAACAAAGCTAAAGGTGACGACTTTAACAAGATAAAGAGAGAATTAGGGTTCAAGACAGGGTTTTGCAATCAAAGGAATCTACACTTAATCAATCTAGCTCTTAAAACTCCTTGTATCAAGGCTTCTCTTGATATTGGGCTTCTCAATGCCTAGCCAACCCTTTCCCAAGGTGAGGCTATCAACCAAGGAATGATCTCAGAAACAGGGGGTTAGCCAGTGAGAATCAAACCTTGGAGGCTATAGGATCATTGCCCAAACTAATCCATCCAACCCCTTAGACCTCTATTGTCTAGAGCAAGAGATATTGGAGCTCTTAGTGGATCTTTTCCAGCGAATGCCATCACTTTCGTGTGGGGAGTCGCCTAAGGACTTACAAGCCAGGGGTAGTGGTCATGTAGCCTTAAGATCTATCCAAAAGAGAGAGAATCTAGATTAAGACCATAAGCTAGAAGGATTAAGCATATGAAACCTCTAATCTATCCCATCTCAAACCCTAATGGGTAACTACTCACTACACATGAATGTAAACACAAGCAAATGCAATAAAAGAGACATCATAAGAAAGAGGAGATGAAATTAAACAACTTTTATTGAAATAAGCAAGTGCAAATACAAGAGAGATTATCCAGGATCTAGGATTCAAGAAGCAAGAGCTTCAAGAACACAAAGATGGGATTAGATCTCTAAAAAGTAAAAGACAATAAATTAAAAGAAACTAAAACAAAATAATCTAAAGCTTGGTGGTTTTTTCGTGGCTTAGAGCCTTTAAATACAAAGAGGATTAGGTTTAGGGTCAAAGGAAAGTCAAGGGGGAAGCAACATTTTTCGGGTTTGACTGTTGACTTCTCAGCTCGATCGAGTTGAAGCTTGGCCGGTCGAGTTGAGGAACTCGACCGGTTGGTCGAGTAGACGGTCGAGCTGGTCTTCAAGATGGCTTCTCCCTTCTTCCTTTGCGTATCCAGTTGAGCTGCTTCCATGTGCCAAGTCCCTCCATGCTCCTCATGTCCCATATGCTCCAGAATGCTCCAAAAGACCTATTTCAAAGGACCAAACATGCATATGTATGCAAATGCAACCTAAAACTAACATGAATGCATAAGAAGAGAAAAGGAACAAGATATGATGCAAATGGAAGCTAAAACTATGCAAAAGATGCATAAAAGATGTGCTAAAACTATGTAAAATGCAAGTACATCAACACCCCCAAACTTGAACTTTGCTTGCCCTCAAGCAAACAAATAGAACAAGAAAGAGATGAGGTTTGAAAAAGCTGATTCAACACTTAAAAACATGTCCTCAAAAGCGATTTGCTAAATGTCCAACTTAGAGATTCTAGAATGCAACAAGGTGAGAGATATTCATTAAGATTTAACCATGCTTATCAACATCAATCCCACTTCACAGTCACTCAAACAATGCATTCAAATCAGCAAATCCCTTTAACATTCATTAAGCAAAAACAGTGAACCAAAAACATGCAAGATCAATCAACTCATTTGGTTTCAAGGGTTTATGGGTTAAGAGACAAAGAGGGTCTCTTTTGTATGGTGGTTTAGTAACAGGGATCTCTCAAGAAAGTGGCTTTGCTTTGGCAGAAGGCTAAGTGTTAGAACCAAAGATGATGCAAGAACAGCAGCTCGAGCCGCCTAATCCTAACTCGATCGAGTTCAACACTTAGAGCTTTTTAGAACAAAATCCTAACTACCCTTTTTGGCATTTCGCCTTTGAAACTGAGGAGCTTTGCTCACTTTTCTTTTAAGAACTTCCTAGGGAGAGGCTTCTTGAGGTAACATCTAGCGGTTTGGGATTTTCTAAACACTTAGGGAACTTTTCTTTCCTTTTTGACACTTGAGGCTTTGCCTTCTTTTCATTCTACTTAGAACCCTTTTTACTTTCCTTTTTTAACTTCCCAAACCTTTACTAGACCCTTTTTAACACTGCCAACTCCCTGGACTAAACTCTTTTTCCTTTGGGTTTTTCCCAACTTTTACCACTTTTCTGGTTTTTACACCCAACTCGATCGAGCTCGAGTTGGCACCCCCAAACTTAGCCTGAAAACAATCCCAAGAGAACTAGACAACTAGAACTACTGCCCCTGCCGGTTTAAACACAACACCTTATGCTAAGCAAAGCCAAGAAAGGTTCTCACATTCGCACAAGAGATAAAATGGGGTTTGAAATGAAAAGGCTTAGGTTTAAGGTGTGGTAACTGTCTCAAAGATAGAGATCAGCTATCTGGACAAGCAAAAGGGATATGAAAATAGGTAAAGAATGTCCAGATATGTATGTGGTAGCCATGAGTTGAAATCAAATGCAAGCATTGGTAATTAAAGATCAAGTTATGGTTCAAATAGATAGGGAAATGCATCAAATCACAGCAATGGTTGAATGAGATGTGCATGCAGTGATATGATCAAGATAAACATGGTTCTTGCTGCTCAATCAATCTCACCCTAATGCACAAAAGAATCTAAAAACAGGGCACTCAAGAAATCGCAAAAGATGGACAAGTTTTCAAAGTCAAATCAACAATGCAAGTGAAAAATGCAATCCTAAACAAGTCTCAAATATGAATGCAAAAATGAATGCTATGCAAAAGATGAAAAACTAAGAACAAAGAAAACAAGGTTAAATCATCTCTTGAACCCTCCCCCAAACTTAAATCACACAGTCCCTTGTGTGAGAAAAATTTAGTGAAAGATTCAAGAGGGCAAAACCAAGAAAAAACAAGAACAAATGCAAGAAAATATGAAATGGTATATACAAGGGTTGGTGTTTGGATACCTCAGTGTCCCCCAAAGAACTGGGAGACTAGGTCGTGGTCTGGAGATGGGAGACGGCCATCAGGAGCACTCCATGCAACTGGGTTGCCTCGGCTCACTCGATCGAGCTTGCGGCTCCTCTTCCTCCTCTTCTTCATCTCAAAGTGTGTGTGGCTCCTTGGCCTTGGTGGAGCTGTGCTTGCTCGAAGCTGTTGTAGGGGTCCATCTCTGGGAGAAGTCCTGGTACTGGTTGATCGTACTCGAATCCGGATCTCAAACAGGGGCTCCTCCAGGTCAACTCGACCCTCAGCTCGATCGAGTTGAGTTTCCTCTGTTTGGACTCGATCGAGTCCGGTGGTCGAGCTGGAGCGTCTGGCCTTGGAAGTCTTCCTCCTTCTCTGCGTGTTGTCTTCTCCTTCCCTTGGCTCGAAAGAAGAGGCTCTGTGAGGCTCTTGGGCAGGGAGCCTCCTTGGAGTGGTGAGGAGTGACCTACTCCTAGGGAATGTGGGGGCCTTGGACTTCTTCTTCTTGCTTGAAGAACCAGAAACCTTCTTCTCCAAACTTTTGATCTTGCTCACCATCTTGTCCATGGACTTTTGCATCTTCTCAATGGCTTTCCCTTGCCATTTGTTGAACTTTTGGAGAAGTCCAATCCTCTTGTGGCAGCCACAACAGAGGGGTTCATCCTTGGAGCCTCATACTCCTCAAAGTAATAGCACTCAGGCTCACCCAAATCGCACTCTCCTGGCCTGATCTTCAGCTCGACCTCAGCTCGACCTCAGCTCGACTCAGCTCGATCGAGCTCAGGCTCCTCTTCTTCTTGCAAATCGCTTCATGCCCAACTAAGTGTACACAGGGGGTCTGAAGTCAATGTTCTACCCCTACCGTGGTGAGCTCAGGGTTGGGCAGGAGAAGCTTGGAGGGTCCAGCCAATGGATGGTGAACTTGAATTGGAATCTCCCATCCAACTCCTTGTGCTCAATGAGGAGGTTGGTCTTGCAAAACTTGATGTCCATCCAACCTGGTGGAGTAGACCTTCTCTTGTCCAGTTGAACTCCAGCTGCACAAAGAATTGGTGTGATCACCCCTCCAACACTAAGCTTTCTTCCTCTTTGGTGCCTAGTGTTGTAAGCTGTGACCTTGTAGGCTTGGAGCTGCTCAAGGAGAGGCATGAGATTCCCTGCGTGTGCCCTGTCTCCTCTGATCTTCTTCCCATCCTTGTCGTGAGATGATGGGCTTGATTCCCATGTCAAGGAGCTTCACTTCTCCCTCATTGATTGTCCAGTGGCTTTCCTTGCAAAGAAGGTGTTGGCAAGAGCCTTGTGGACATATCTAAGCACAGGACTTCCTGATCTGAGCAGCCTTGGACCTTGAGGAAGAGTACCCCTCTTCAGCGATTGTAGCCCAACTCTTTGGAGTTCTTCTTCCTTGATGTTCCATGGTTACCTTCTCCATAGTGAACCCAAACAGTATCTCAAGCTGCCTAAAGGTCACCATCTTCTTCTCTCCCTTTGCTAGAAAGTTATGTACCCCCAGCCTTGGTCCAACTCAGCTCGATCGAGCTCATCAAACTGTGATGCTCATCGAGCCAAAAACTCACAAGTCAACTCCTTGTAAGACTCCATGCGGTGAGAGAAGAACTTCCCCAATTGCATGTTCTTGAGCACCAACTCCACATCCTCAAAGATCCAAGATCTCTCATGGTGTCATCATGTGGGTACTTGGTCTCCACAAAGTCCATGGAGAAGAGAGCATTGTAGTGCTCTTGGTACATGGGGAGCTCATCCTCCTCTTGCTCTGCTCAGCCTCTTCCATTGGCTCATCTTGGTTCCCTCTTGTCATCTTCATCAACCAATTGGTTCACCTCTTCTCCTTCCTCTTCACTCTCAGTCTCATCACTTCCTTCTTCATTTGGAGAACCATTTCCCTCCTCTTGAACAAGGTTCACTCCAATCTCAAACTCCCCTTGCTCACTCTCACTACTAATAGGGTCATTCCTCTTCTTGGTCCTCCTTTCTTCCCTCAATCTCTCACTCTCAGACTGTTCCTCAGAGTAGACATACTCCTCTGCATCAGATTCTTCCATCCTCTGATCCATCCTCTCAAATCGGCTTGCATCTTAAGCCTTCTTTCCCTTGCATTGCTTGATTCACCCTCAACCATTCTCCTCTGTGAAGCGCGGCTTCCCTCACTGTTTGTCATCTTGTTACTCTGTTTCTTCACTAAAGTACCTGAAATGCATCAAAGATTACAAAGAATTAGAGTTGTAATGATCGGTTTGGTCAACTCGACACTCAGCTCGATCGAGTCAAAAAACTCGAGTGACAAACTCGATCGAGTTGGGTGAAAACAGAGTATAACCAAACCTAATTCAAGATTAAGAGCTGGAAAGGATGCTAATCAATCAAATTGAACCAAGAACAACTAGTAAATGGAACAATGAGCAACTATAGAGAAGTACTAAGCATCTTAACCAATACCAAACTCAAATTCAATTTTCAAGCACATGCAACAAGTTTAAAGGCAAAACAGAGGTGAGGTGAAACAAACTAACAAGATATACAGCAGAGGCGAAATATGAGGGCAATTACTCAAGAACAAGTCCACAAGGGACACATGCAATCAAAAATCAAAGGGAAACAAGCAATATGGAAATCGAGATGGATGAATGAAGGGTTTTAGGGTTCATACCTTGTTGAATGATGAATTGAAGAGCAGTAAACAAAACCCAAGCAAAACAATGAAGAACAAGAGGAAATCGCAAAAACTTAAGAGAGAAAGAGAGGAATTCGAAATTTCTTGTGGTGAAGAGAGAGAGATGAGTTTCAGAAATTTTAAGTGTGGGAGAGAGAGAAGTGGGTTCGATCGAGTTATGGGGAAGAGGGAGTGTTTGAGATGTGTGGTTGAGATTAAAAGATGAAATAAAGAGGGAACAAGAAAGCTAGGGATTCTCTGATCAAATTAGGGTAGTGGGGGACCAAAATCAGCTTGTGGGACCCACTCCCTTGACCAAGAAAACGGTTATGAATTTGAAATTCAAAAACTTACCTCGGTCGAGTTGTGTAGCTCGATCGAGTTGCCCTGGTTTCTAGCTCGATCGAG